AGTAATAGTAAAAGTTGTATTTCATTCAATTATTTGGACAGCAAATGGAAATTTTCAGAAGTGCTACAACATTAAATGAACAGAACAAATAGAAAATTATTCATTGTCATATGCCGAGTAGACTGTATGCAATATGTATGTAAATTTCAGTCTATTTAAAAATATAAAATTAAATGTATTCTTATTTTGTCCAAAATACACTCTAATCACACAAAAGTAGGCATACTATAACTGTGCACGTTTATTTTAAAAAATATGCATGCTTCTGATCATCAAAAGTGACCAGGTGGCCTTAAGAGGCTGCGCAAAACTGTTTTTACGTCTTTTTACTTTTCAACCTGGAATTATTTTAGATTATTTCCTTTGCAATTTAGGGGAAATGTGTTTCATAGGTTAATCGGAAACATCATATGCACACCACTGGAATAAACTGGAATAACGAAACACACTACAAAGAGGCACTGTAAACTAGATTTGTGATCCACAAAGGAGTTTGAACATATGTAAATTAATACACTCATACCCTGGTATAAGAAAGCTCGGTATACGAATTTTAGCTAATCCGAACATGAAGAACTTTTACCTTGTATTTCGTTATAAAATCGAAATTTCGCTTAACGGAACTTTGAAGTTCGAAAGTGACCGATTTTTTTACGAGAACCTTCTGCGAACATCTGAATTCAGCGTCACCGAAACAGCTGTTCGTTTCTTTGGCTTTGGAGTTAATGAAGTTGTGAGGCAGCAGTACTTTGTCTACGATTACAGGGAAAGCCTGTGCTCTCATTTTGAAAGTGTTTTTTGTGTGTGTGTGTGTTTGTTTTTTAGTTGCTATTCATTATGGGGATTTGAGGAAGGGAAAAAGATTCTTTAGCGTAACAGTCGACAACAGTATGCACCTTGTTCTAGCCGATCGCTTAGGAAAGAATGAAAAATGTAAATACAGTATGATATAATTATTATTTTACAGCTATAGTTAGCTTATTTGAGTAGAACTGCGTTTTCCAATAAGCTTGTTATAATGGTCTGTATGGTACTATATGTTTAGAGTGGTTTTTGAGTGAACTTGTCTTCGATTCGGAACGGGGTGGCATTTTCCCCAGAAGAATAATGGAATTTTTATTTTCCATTTAAAATCTCCCGCCTTCCGAACAGATTTTCAGGAAAAAATCAGGTTTGGATACCCGGGTATGAGTGTATTTATTTTTAGGTTAGCATAAATCTGTATCATCCTTGCCTGATTTAAATAGCACTAGATTCAGTAACGTACAAAGTTTCTCCTTACAGAAAACCTTGAAATAATTGTTTCTCTGCACAATGTAATGTTAAAGTCACTTGCCTTTAGTTTTTTTTTACACTCTCCTGTCTGGTCCTTATAAAAGCTGCAGTTGTTTAATAAAACCATTTGACTACAACAAAATATTACCTTACAAAGTCTGAAACACTGTAAATGAAGTCTTTGTAAACATAGTGGGTTGGTAGTCTTTAGCAGTTTGTGAGAGTTATTTTTTTTATGCAGATA